CTGAACAACAGTAGCAGGTTCCAGAGGCCAGTAGGAAAATCAGGAAAACGGAAGATCAGTAGCAGGAGAGCAGTAAGGAAACCGCATGTCAGTGGCAGAGGAAAGAATCAATAAACAAAGTAAAGGAGAGAAATCAGTCGACACATCTTTATCGATTATACGTATAAAAAGGTACCTTTTATAATAAAAACAAAAGTCGTATACGAAATATAATACAGAATTGCAAAAGTAAAAAAAAGAAATTAATATAAAAACGTTTAGTAAATCACTAATTCAATATTAAGCAAATTTATTTAATCATTTCATATATATACTTAAAACTGGCCAATCTTTGTAGAATTAAATATTAATATTAGAGAAAATTAATAAGTGTTAAATAAGAAGTTATAAGATAAAGCGTCAGTGTCTTAAGGTATGCAACCAGTATTACATGAAATTTAATTTAACGATATTATCAATATAACCTCTTGTATAGGGTTTTATAAACATTGTGAAATACTTCAAAATATTGACTAGTGTGTTTAAGAGTTTAGAGTGACAAAATTTGACATATATATAGAACAAAAAAAAAATAATAAATTCATTTATTACTAAACCTTTTGTTTTTATAGCTGTGATTGGTGTGGTTTCTTGCTAAAGCATAGAACCGACTACGGAGATAGAGTCTAGAGCTAGGTAGGGCGAAGATATACAATACACAATACACCAATCCAACAAAATTAATATCACAACAATCAAATTTTATTTTGGCGCTAACATATACTATCGTACACACATATAATCATAACAATATATACATATTCATTTTTTTTAGTATTTACTTACTAAGCGGAATGTTATATTTACGGCTGTATTGCGTTGCAATTCTGTATCTACTCTTGTGCCTTTAATTAACTATCGAACTTTTATAGAGAAAAACTGCCCCCCTTTTCTTCTACCCTTCTCCTAAACAACGCCTTTGGTTGAAACCATAAACGCTTTTGAAAATAAAATGTAGATGATACTCAATTTACTAAATAACCAATTAATTAATAGTTCTTAAAAAAATTACGTTGTAATTTTTTTATTATATGACACCTAGCCTAGATTAATTTTTTAAATCATTTCATTATAAAGTAATTAATTCAGAATTAATTAATTTAAAACCTTTATCTCTGTTCATAATTAACTGGAAGAAGTTTGCTTTTAGATCTATTACCACCGAAACGGCTCCATCTGATTTGCAGCCGAAATCTCGACTTCTAAAAGCTGTGGATCTTACTCTTGCACTTCCAAAAAAAAATCTCCCCCTCGACTCCATAACGGATCGTCGGTCCCGTTTAATTAAAATCTATCCTCAGGGTTTCGGATTCGGAGGAAAGTAAATTTTGCCAGTTCGGGCCGCTGCTGGTGTTACGTTTTCGCATAGAAATACACGAGAGATTCCCGTTCCTCAGAAACTGGTTTGGGTTAAGCCGCACGTCTGCTGAATATGGTCGATGGCCTCTTGTCCAAGTTCATTAGGGCAACAGTTATGTAAGATGTAAGCCACTTCCGACTCGGAGACACACATATTATACACAGTGAGGCAACAAACTTGTTTGAGTTTCAGGAAGGTGGCATTGTTTTAAACAACCGACGAAGAACCCGCCTTACCGTGTGTTCGTTTTTGCGTCGATTATAAGACAAATCGATCCTTAAGGTAATTAAACTTTTAAATTCGTCAATAACAAAGCAGTGTTTTTGTGGGTCGGCTGCAATCTACATAATTTAGCATATCTTCAACGCACTAACCGAATTTGAATTGATAATGTGATCGGTTTCGTTTCGTAATGTTTTGGTGGGCATTTAAATTTCGTTAGTAAGCCGCTTGAATACATTACACCATAACGGTTTTGGAAATCAGGCGCTTCTTCTAGTCATCTTAACAATGTTGCAAAATCAGACTTGCGATTTTTAAGTAACAGCAGGTTCATTATGTAAAAATTTAAAAAATAAATGCGATGCGAGCGCATCCTAAAAGATAACAACCGAAATAATGCCTTTTTATTATTCGGCATACATATGTAACAGAATAATAAATCCACTATATATTCTGAGTGTTTTATTGTCAGTAAAAAGAGAATCACTTTATGTAGCTAGTACTCAGTCTAATATCCATAGTTTGACCGGTGTTGACCGGACAGCAAATAGCGGCCAATATAACCGATCTCTCCCGAACTACCTATATCATGGATATGTAGAGGTGTTTCAAAATCTTATGAGCTTTGACCTTCATATGCGCAGAAACATAATTCCGACCGTCGCCTAAATTATTCTACGTCCTAAAAACATTACATTATTCTATTCACAGTCTCTCTCGAGCTCTCGTAGCGTAAACAAGCCTTTGATCCGATTACAAATATCCTAATAAAATGCTCTATTCTTTATTATTTTAATTTAAGCAATAAAAATATATATAACGAACGTTCGCCAGTTGACTTTATTGATGCCCGAGCGCCTTAGTTTATTTCTACTTGTAATGATGCACATGGTCTAGTCAATGTTTTCACAACGTGCTTATTAGAAGAATTATGCGTATACGCCACGCCTTTCGCGCATTTCGCGGCTCATGAGATATTGAAACACCTCTACACCGTGATGGATGACGTCAATTTCGGTATATGTATAAACGACCCGCCTAGAAAAAGGCAACATTGTGCATAAAATAGATTAAAGCTTTATTAACTAAATCGATAACTAAAACAAAACCAAAACCAAAACTCTCAAATTGTTTGGAGTGTTGCAAACATCCCTTAAATATTAAATTATGTAGCTTCGACCTGGACTTAGATCCAGAAATGCGATATGATGTATAAATAGAGTAAGGTTTCACTAAAACTACAGCCGAAATAGATTTACTGGGAAATTATTTGGATGGTTATAAACATCCCTTAAATATTATATTAAATAGTTACTAAACGGATCTACAGGCTGTAAGAAGTTTGACTGCCATTACTTCAGCATAAGATAGAATAATAATAAATTAACAAAAAAGTTGTATATTAACAGTTTTCAAAATACAGCGAGTATTAATATTGGGGAGTTTCATCACAACGTGACAACAGCGCTTAACCTAACGCTACACAGCTGGTGCATACCTAGGGTTACTAGATCTATTTCATGACAGACCCGGAGACATTAAATCTGACTAGAAAAGAAATACTGCTTGTTACATTTATCTATTCCCCATACTATGGGGAAAAAAAAGTTATGCACTCAGAAAATCTGGGAGATAAATTGTTTTCGAAGAAAGAAAAAAGGACGCAATTAGGAAATCTTGGAGACATAAAATGTTTTCACGGTTTTTCCTCAACAAACCCGGAGAAATGACTTGTTAACTCGGAGCCCAAAAACTCCGGGTCAAACCCGGAGATTTGGCAACATTATGCATACCAGTGTGCACTCAGCAGACTTGTCCTACGGAAAAAATGTAAACAACTATTATTGTGAAACAATTATTTTCCAATTTTTAAATAACTAAAATAAAATATATCGATTTTGTAGCACAATGATAGTGTTGTGCTTAAATTTTAGCGCGAATTTTAGTAATTATGAACGTTTTAATACAGGAACAACATTTATTTGAATTTGAAAAATATGTAATTAAAGTACCCAAAGATTCACGTCATTCAAATAATCATACGTATTAAAAATAATTTAGGTACTTAGGATACCAAAAAGCAAAACTCGGTAATTTTTAAACACACAAGTACAAAACTAACTACAACATACTCGTATGCTCAAAATGTCCACCACCATTTTCGATGTACGCACGATACTTTCGAATCCAATTTTCGCGCACTCGCTGGAAAACACCTCAAGAAAAGGAAATAGTGGTACGCAAAAAACACTCAGACATGGTCTAATTCCAGATACCAATTGAATTGCGTAGTGCTGGACAGTTTAGTACCTCGTGTAAACCGCCGCGCCGTTGTCACATTGCTCGATATGAATTTTATCGAATTTTAAATTTATTACAACGCTAATTATTTTTTAGAATTAAGCATAAACAAGTTAAAAAAAGTGATAAGCATTGTATTTTATGGTATTCTATGCACGCAGTTATGTCAATATTCCTTAATATTAATCCAACTGTTGTATATCAAGTTGGAGATTTTTTATTATTTTCTCGGAAATGGTTGAGTTTAGGACCCATGTTTCATTGTTTATTTTAATTCTATGGTCTGTTAAAATTAAGGGAGTTAAACTTCTAACACCGTGTAGATCCATTGTTTGACTTAATTTGTTGGAATTTTTGTATTAAATTTTGAATCTGTTTGAATAGCTTAGTAGCTTTAAAAAACAATAAAAAATTCGGGGGGTTTTTTTTTTAAACATATGTTTGTTAAATGTTTTATGAAATATTAAACGAATTGAAAAAGAAAGAATATAATTAATTAGAAACGACTAGGTTGCCTAGCAACTACTAATAATAGGTAGTTTTTTTCTAATATTTGCGTATGACACACTTTTTTGGATATATCTCTCTTACATATTGTTTGATGTTGTTTAGTTGTGGAACAGTTTTAGATTTTTTCTTTATTTTTTAGGAATTTTGCCGTTTGTGAAAAAAATTAAAAAATTAGTAATATAAACACTTGCGCCAAATAAATTAGTCAAGGGTTATTTTTATGAAAATAGTTTTGCCCAAGTAACCAAAAAAATCTCACACTGAAAAAAAGCAGACAAATATAAAATCACATCACTGAATATCACTGTTTTCGTCTTCTGAACTTTTTTGGCTTCGTTTTATTAGCTTTGACTGTTAAAATAATAATATACATTCTTTTACTATGGTATGTCAAATTTGACATGAATTAACTAATGCGTATAAAAATTATAGAGGGCTGTCTCCAAAAAAGTGCAATGTCTAAATGGGTAATCATTTTATTGTGTATTATACAAAACACTCTGTATGTAATACCTTTATTTCATTTTACAGAATTCTTTCGAGTTTTTGAAACACGTTAAGAACTAATATGTCGAGAAATGACGGAAAGCCGGTGTGTTGCATTCGCCTTGTATTTTTGAAGCATGAACAAACAGTCTAGTTATTACAAATAATGTTTAGTACCGAGATATTGTGAAAATGTTTTTTAATAAATTTTGTCCTGGCTTCATTTCTGTTATATTTAAAAAATTAAATTTCCTTAAGGTAATCGGGAAATAATTTTAGAAAAATCGGGAATGAGAGAGAATCTGTTTGGTTTTTTGTTTAAAAAATTCCTTGGTCCAGCCTGGAATGGCAGGGGAATATTCAACAAAAAAAAAACACTCCCATTTTATTTGCAGATTAATTTTAATTTTCAATTTTTAATTCGGGGCGAGCGGAAAAATTTGACATTTTTTTTTTAAATTGACAAAAAGGGAACAAAAAATTGGTCGGGGTGGCGGAGGGGATTTTTTTTAAACAAAAAACGTGGCAAAAAAATTAACAAAAAATCCTCTTTTTTGCTTAAAATTTAATTGAAATTAGTATTTTCCTTTTTTATTAAAAACTGACAAAAAATGGAACAAAAAATTCGGAGGGGAGGCGGAGGGGATTTAAAAAAAAATCCTCTCTTTTCCTTAAAATTATACTGAAATTAATAATTTTACATCTTGTCAAGTGATTTTTTGAAAGTTATTCCCGTACTCCCTTTATATACATATACCTACCTGTAATACATACAAACGTATATTATACATTTTAGTTTATATATTGTATATAAATATACACTCATCGTAGATTTTTTTTGTTTCCAGCAACTATTCCGATCTCAGCAGTCGCAAGCGGCCACACCGAGCGCAGCGCAATTGCAGCTACTGCAGCAGCAGCAACAGCAGTACCTGGCCCAACAGCAGCAGGCCGCCTTCCCTCAGCCGCCCTATCTGGTCAACCCCCAGCAGGAACCCTATCTGATAACTGCCGGGGTACCGCAGTACTACGGCGTCGGTCCGTGGGTGTACCCCGCGCCTCCTGCAAATCTCATACAGCAGGGTAGCGCCAGCAACGGGGCCAGGAGGCCCCTGACCCCAAATGGAACGGCTGAGGCCCAACAACAAGTGCAGGTTGGTGTCTGTTTCTCGAATTTGATAAGAAGGGAAACAGAGAAGAGGTATCGGAAATCGGTGTCGAAAAAATAAGGTGTAACGTAACCTAGTTACATTAACATCAGATAATAATGTTTCAGAAGTCACAATATGAAGTCCAGTAATAAGAGATTTTATTCTGAATATAAAATGAATCATATCTTATAATTTTGATCAAACCTTAAATTCTTCTTTGAAACAAAATGTTTCCATACTATTTCATCAGTTTTGCATGTAAATGCAGTATTAACACCAGCACTGCGAAAATGCTTATGGATGGTATCGATAAGAAACAGAGACAGAATGAAACAATATATTATTAATTTATTCAGTTCAGTGTTTTTTGTGCTGTAATAATTAAATAGAATATACTTTACTTTATCTGGATGCAGTGTAATATTAATTATCAAGCCTCTTTCTCGGGAATGTTCGAAAGAATGTACAAGTCTTTGTCATTGTCATTGGCAGCTGATGACAACTAAAATTGTCATATTTCGATAATGTAGCGTTTTTAAGGGATGATTTCACATATAGAGAACCTTAATGATGAAACAATTTTGAAGGAAATTTGCAAAACTATGTATATTAAAATAGGGATCGTAACCCTGAGAAAATAAATTGTTTCCTGTGTAGCCCTTTTCAAGATCAGGAACCTCTGTTTTAACTTTTTTATTTTGCTAACACCGTACAAAATGTTTTCACCACATTCTTCTTTCTATATGGTTTTAGAAATAATCTCTAAAAAACGGTGTGGGTCCCACACTTCATTATCCGAATATTAGGGCGGAGCTAATTTTTGCTGGAATACCTTCAGTACAACTCACATAATAAAAGTGTAGATCCCTAGATCTGGGCGAGGTCCCGAACACTTGCAAAATTGCAAAAATGTTTTAAAAATTTTTAAAAATAGCTGTTTTATCTGAGTTTTTTACTTATATCTTGGAACTTATGCATTTTGGAAGAATATTGAAGAGGAAAAAGTTTTAGAATTTTTTAAAGTTTTTCCAAGTACTTTAAATTTGTAATTTTTGAAAAAAACTAAATTGCAAATTGATAAATGTAATCTAATTGTTTAAAAATAAAAAAAAGAGTGGTAACTAAAAATTTACTGTGACCGTCCTAATCGATTTCAATTTTTCAAAAACTATTTGAAAGGTTGAGCGGTCTTTTCTATGTAAAAAAAATTTTCAGGTATGTAGATGCTTTATTTTGAAAATTCTAACTTTTTTCAAAATTTTTTTCAAAAAATTATTTTGCGAAAACAATATCGAGCCGATTTTAATGAAATTTGGTGTGTTGCTTTATTATACTATAGTTTTTTTTTTTTACCAAAATTAGAATGCCCTCGGAGCAATTAAAATATTTAAAAAAATTATCCAAAAAACTTGATTATTTTACCTTTTTTTTCATCAATTATTGCTATTTTGCAACATCGGTAATAAATTAAACAATTTTAATTTGCAGTATATTGTGCAAAATTCAATTCTAAAGCTTTTTTCCTCTTCAATATTCTTCCAAAATGCACAGGTTCGAAGATATAAGTAAATAACTCGGATAAAATAGATATTTTTTTAAATTTTTTTAACACATTTGCAATTTTGAAAATGTTCTGGACCTCGCCAAGATCTAGGGATCTACACTTTTATTATGTGAGTTGTACTGAAGGTAATCCAGAAAAAATTTGCTTGCCCCTTCTCACATCCACCTCAAAACAGGTCCGCCGTGGTCTATATATCCATTTTGATTTTCATTGGTCGTATTTGAAATGAATTGAACAATTTGAATACATAAATTTGTACATTTTTCTGTCTCTGATTACCTTTTTTCTGTTTTCCACAATATAATAAATAATATTTCTACTCTATACTCTGATACTTTATACAAATAAATATTGTACATATTAATATAATTTACATTATTTCTTTAGTTTTATTAATTTGTACAACAATCAGCTTTGTATATAAATTATGTCCTGTTTTATTATATAGTTATTTAAATTTGTAGAGAATATGTGTAAGTATATATACAATTATTGCACTAATGCTTTATAAAAAGTAATGTGTAAAATACTAATAGATTTTATTTAGTTATAACAAAAGTAAATAATATATGAAATTTATTGGGCGATTCCCATTTTGCCCATTAATTAAAAAAGTAAATTTATTCTAATCACAATGTTTTTGAAATTCTTAGTCCTGTGTTCCATTAACAGTAACATCGGTGTTGGATGCAATTTATATACATTTACCATAGTAATAACAATAACAGTAAAACTTTTAATGTGTAATTGTAAAAACTATTACTAATGAGCAACCTGTTGTTATAAGTTTTTATAAATATTGATGAATTTAATAGAACAATAACAGGTTTATCTATATTATTATATAACATCTTTTATTAAATTGTAACAACTTATAAATATCAAACAGGTAATGATAACTATGCATTATTTAAATTTCTAAAATTTCTTATGCAATCTAGTTACATAATAAAACATACAGGGTGGCCCTTAAGTACATCCCAATAATGGGATTTGTTAGATTATTTTAAAGAAAAAAGTTCGTACGGATATTTGTCCAAAAGGACTTAATTATCAAGGAAAAGCGCTATTTAAGTAATTTTTCAGGAAAGCAATATAAAGAAAAGTCATTACCATCGAATTTTTTGTGGTATGTATGATTGATATCGTAGTACTAATTACGTACCAAAATAGATGAACATACATGCTTTCTTTCAAAAATACAGATATTCTATTATTAGCTCCGACATGTTTTTACTCTTTTGTAAATGTATTAAGCTAATTCAAGCAAATTCAAGAAAATTTTATCAAATGAAGTCGAACAATGTTTTTGGACACCAGACATCTAGGTATGCAAAAAAAAATAGTCAATCTCAGACAAGAATGCTAACTGCTGATACTGCGGGAAACAACTACTCCATGAGCTACATACCCCACCGGTATTGTATTACACTACGCTAATACTTACTGAACAGTTAGTAAAAGAATTGTATAAAATAAAATCTAAAATTGAAATGTTTAAATAACACAGGCCAACAAGGAAAAAATTCTAGAGATCAGACAATACGTTTTCGAAGGCATTGGGCGCGCTGAATCCGAATCTGGCCTCAGAATTGATCCATCACGCTAGGTTTCCGAGATATTCTAACCTAAAAGTGCAAAAACACGTATTTTTGCTATTTTCAAGGTTATGTAACTTTTTTTTCTCAAAACTGAAAATATCAATGGAAACTACTATCTTTCCCCTTCAAAACGAATTTTTTTATTTGTAAAATGCTTTATTTTTCGCGGAGATATCGTCGATTAAAGATGATCAGTGTAGCTACCTTATTACCATGGCTCGACCTATAACACAATATCACTAAGCGCTACGAGCCTTATATGTCAGGAAGGTTAACCCCAATAACCCAAATAACCCAATAACCCAATAGGGATTAACCTTCCAGACATATAGGGCTTGGGGTTAACCTTCCTGACGATTAGGGCTCGCAGCGCTTAGTGTTATTGGGTTATAGGGCTTGAAGTTAACCTTCCTGACGATGAGGGCTTGCTCCGTTTAGTGTTGTGGGGTTATAGGGCTTGGGGTTAACGTTCCTAACAATTAGGGCTAGCAGCGCTCAGTGTTATGGGGTTAGCCATGATGTAATAATATAGCCATACTGGTCATCTTAAATTGACGATATCTCCGCGAAAAATAGAGCTTTTTCCAAATAAAAAAATGCGTTTTGAAGGGGAAAGATAGTCGTTTCCAATGATGTTTTCAGTTTTGAGAAAAAAATTTGTTCGCCAAGTTACATAACCTTGAAAATAGCAAAAATACGTGTTTTTTGCACTTTTAGGTTAGAATATCTCGGAAACCTAGGGTGATGGATCAATTCTGAGGCCAGATTCGGATTCAGCGCGCCAAATGCCTTCGGAAGCATAGTGTCTGATTTCTGGAATTTTTTTTTTAAATTTTGTCGGCCTGTGTAATTAATTGAAAGTGTGTATGTGTTTTTCTATTAATTATTTAAACATTTCAATTTTAAATTTTATTTTAAACAAATTTTTTATTAACAGTTTAATCAGTATTAGTGTGGTGTAATAGAATACCAGGTGGGGCTTATATCACATGGAGTAAATGTTTCCCGCAGTATCAGCAGTTTCGGTGAGGTTCGCATACCTAGATATCTGGTGTCAAAGACATTGTTTGACTATTTGATAAGATTTGTTTGAATTAGCATTTACAAAAGAGTAAATATATATATGCTTTCATTACTCTAAGGGTTTAATTCAAAAAGAGACTTTGGTCTACACCTGTTAACTCTCCTGATGAATGTTCTTAGCTATTTACTAGATATTGTGTATACTGTCTTTTCCTGACTTTTTATAATTGCATTATATTTACAACAAAGAAATCATACATATTCTTTTTTTATTATTTCTGCTTTGTTTGTATGTGCCTGTAACAAATTATTTTATTTACTTTTTTAATTAAAAGAAAAAAGTACCCAACTGGTTGATGTTGATGATTGTACAGGGTGTCGCGCTTAAAAGTGATACAAGCCTGTAGCTTCTTTATTTTTTGACCAATTTAAATATATTTTTTTTTTAGAATGTAGGATAAAAAACTAACTGTAATGTTGCTGTTTTTATGAAAGCAATACAAGGTCAACTAGGACGCGTTTGTTTCTGACGTTAAAACAGCTAATTGGTATTAGTGATTTTTTTTCCAAAAAACAGATTACGTATTCCCGTTCAGCATCCCTTAAAATGTCTCATCACCAAGTTTCCTCAAATTTGATACATCTTCCGACAAGCACTAGTTGGCTGTGTATTGCATTAATAAAAAACAGCAGTACCGCAGTTAGAGTTAGTTTTTTTTCCTACATTTCATAAAAGAAAATTTTTAAATTGGCCAAAAAATAATGAAGTTGAAGGATTGTAATATGTTTCGCGACATCATATAGTACTCGCCTGAAGATGTATCAATTTTGATGAAATTTGGTGGTAAGACGTTTTAAGGGATGCTGAATGGGAATATGTAATCAGTTTTTTGGAAAAAAAATCGCTAATATCAATCAGCTGTTTTGATGTCAAGAAAACACATCCTAGATGGCCGTAAATTGCATTAATAAAACCAGCAGTATCACAGTTAGATAGAGTGTTTTTAACCTACATTCCCAAATAAAAAATTTTGAAATCGGCCGAAAAATAAAGAAGTTACAGGATTGTATCATATTTAAGCGCAACACACTGTATATAAATTGACGAATTTCTATCTTTGTAGATACTTGCGTAAATGTGATATTTTTCAAAAACTTAAAATGTTTTTACTTAAAATAATCTAAATAAATCACCCCCTCTATTATTGGATTAAGAATCACTCTGTATATTTACCAATTTCATGATTCTGTGTAAGTGATGCCTTGTTATCATTTTGAGGTCTCAAAGTTCATAGATCACTTAAGCTTCTACGATTATGAAACACCAGGAGATATTGTCCTTGTACAGCTTTTAGCATTGTGTCTGTAAATACTGTATATCTTGCAGCCGCAAGTACCCGGAGGTTACATTGTCCCCTATTATGATCAGAACACCCCGATCCTTATGGCACAGAGTGCTGCTATGCGGAATGGCACCCCAATGCGACTTGTCAGTCCAGCACCGGTCCTCGTACAGCCGCAGGCCAACAGGCAGACCCAGGCCGCTGCGGCCGCTGCATCTCTGTATTCCAGTACCCCGCAAAGCTTGTATGGTGCTAACGTCAACACCTCGGTTAATGGGACCACACTTGGAGGTAGGGATGGTGATTTTTTTTTTGTATATATATAATGTATCGTTTATGTAAATACCTTGTATATTAACATTTTAGAAACTATGTTTGTGAAATACTCTTAACGTGTTAAAGTAATGCGCTCTATTAATTTGATGAATTACAGTTTAATTGCATACTAAATTCCATTTACAATAAATGTAGTAACTTTTCTGAAAGTCAGTTTATAAATTTGGTGCTCTTAAATCGATTTGCATTTATTTTAAGTGTTAGAAAAATTCAATTACACTCATAAATAAATTCGTTTTATTTCCATACCATTCTATGCCATTCCATTGTTGCACTGTTGTCATTAGGTATTTGTTTAATTATATATGTCTAATTTCAAAAGTTTATGAAATTTTTTTCTAACGTTGATGTGACATAGTGCGTTAAAATATTAAAATTAAACAATTTTTGGAGGCAAGTTTTTCCATTATTTTTTTTCTTTACTTAATTGGGTATTTTGCCACATGCAAAACAATTAAATGAATAATTAAATAAGCCCTTGCACGAAAATAGGTCTGGGGCTGTATTAATGAAACTATTTTTGCATGACCCAAAATCACATACTGAAAAATGTAGGCGACTAAAAAAATACACATCAATATGTCAAAATTCATTCAAAGGTAGTAAATTTTTCGTTTCGTTTTCAAAGCTACAAATGACATTTCTTTTTCAAATAGGTTTAATAATTTTTTGTACTGAAAATGTCATTTGTAGTTTTGAAAACAAAAACATTTTGTTTTTTGGAACATTAACGAATTTTCAGGTGAAATGTGTGTATTTTTTATCAGCCTGCTTATTCCCAGTACAAGATTTTTGGTTATTCAAAAATGATTTGATAGAAACTACTCTTGAAGTAACTGATCCTTTTGGCGTAAAGCTATATTTAATAATTGTTTTGGCAGGTGGATTCATATAAACAGAAAAAAAAAATGTATTTTAGAATTATTATCTATAATTGTTTGTTTGTGGCATTTTCAGCACCTTTTTTTGTCTTTGATGTGTCATCCCACTGAAATCAAAAAAGAATTTAAATTTTTCAAACATATTTTTTAAATAACCCCTTACATCAAAGGGATCAGTTAGAGAATTGATTTCATTTCATCAGTGATGAATTAAAAAAGATTTTTGTCTTATTCTAAATGAAATTCATTTATTTAGTAGTTAAGTTGGTAAAATTTCCAACTAACTGCATTTTTTGAAATGAAATAATTGAATATATATTTTTATAATATTCAAATTGTTCTGTTCTATTTAAATACCCTGTACAGTGTATGATTTTATTAGATGTTTATATTGTAAAGTTCTTATGCTTATTTGAAACATTTATGAATTGTTGTGTCCATTTTTTTTTCTGTAAAGCACTATTTAATCGTACCTTTGATAAGAAATTTTCTCTCTCTTATCAACCCTCATGTATAATCCTCATTTTCATGAAAAACTTACCGGCATTTTATAAAAATCACATAATTTTTTTATAACTATTATTAACCCAGTGTGTATACTAACTTCAATCGGTGTGGGTTAGGTGTGGCACAAGGTGTGGGTTCTGGGTTGTTCCCAACATTACATGCAGCACCTCCGTCTGCACCATTCGGCAGCTCATCTTTAGGGAATATTGGCTCATCTGCTACCACAACATCCTTACATACAGGTATGACTAATCGATTAACCAAATCACTATAACCTTTCATCGGTCATATGGTCATCGCTATAAATGATATGGAGTCGTATATACATAGCTAGCATCCAAATAATGCACTGTAATAAACATATTATAATAAGTAGTGTGCCAAGTTGAAGTACTTAGTCATTTATTATATTCCCACAAGATCTAAACTAGACTTGAAACCATAATTAAAATTTAAAACATTCATTTTCTCAACTGCCCAGGTCTTTAAAACTTTATCCATGTTTTTTTCTGCAAAAAATCAGTATTAAAAATGTTCCTGAACTGAACTACTGTATATTTTTTAATTTTATGGTACTAGTTGAAATAAGTTAATATTGTACTAATATTCAAATAATTTTGATTCAGATCAAAAACTAGAAATTATATACAGGGTGAGTTTTTTCGATGTCTAGTGTAGTGATCTGGGAAAGTAGCAGAGATACAAAAAACTTAAAAATGTGGAAAGATGTGCAGTGTTATTATCCTTATTATACATTACGTTTATTTTTTAAATAAACCTCATGGCTGACTAGATATATAGAAAAATCCGAATTCGGCAAATTTTTCGGATGTGTTGCTATTTATTTTGCAAAACAAAATTTAAATTACAAGGTTTCAGGTTTTTGCAGTGTTAATAAGTGTGATCAAATTATTCGTGTACACTTTCGTTTTCAAGTTATAACATAAACTTCAGGTTTTTTAAATGTAGACCATAGTTAGCTATGAGCTAGAAAAAAATGTCTTTTTTTATGCTTTCCAACGATATAATATTCGGTATTGTTATTTTGAAAAATGAGAGAACTGCAGCCGTTTTTAACTTTTCAATTGCTCATTGACGTAGATGGCTGTGAAAATTATACGCAATCCAACAAATAAAATCAGAACAATTGAAGTCGGCATTGTATGCGCACCTCTGTATGTGTCAGAGCACCAGAGCAGTGTGCGACTGGCATGTTTTAAATAAAACAATTATAATAAGTAAAGAATAAAGCATTTAAATCATAATGATGGAAATCGTTTGTGGTAAGTAAATGAAATCCTTATCAAAGACGCAAAAAATATCAGAATTTTATGAACAAACCATTATTTACTTTAAAGATATTAAAGAAATTGTTCAAAAAACCCACCTAAATTATTAATGCACAAAATACATCTTTTTGAAAAAGAATTTGAGGCTCTTCTCACAGAATGGTTTACATTTAAAAAACTTGTAGTTTATGATGTTTTTTCAAAAAATAAAAGTAACATATAATAAGGATCATAAAACTGCACATCTCTCCTCATTTAAACTTTTTTGTATCTTTGCTACTTTGCCAGATCCCTACACTAAATATGGAAAAAAACTCACCCTATATACAAGATGTCTGAATTTGTATGTGTATTAATCAAATACATAAAAAATAATTGGAATGGAAATATTTTTTATTAAATGGATTCTAATAATATGCATATTTGAGAACTAAAATTTTCTCAAAATTGTGTCTTACACCTGCTACGATTTATTTTTAGGTGCCATTTTTTAAATTATCAATTTTTTTTAACCAAAATGTAATAATACGTTATTATGAAATGAGTGAAAATCTTTCAAAAATGACAGGCTTAGAATTTCCAGTTTTGAGGATATATAGTTTCTAAATATGTGTGGTCTAAGTGTCCATGTTTTAAGGGGTTACACCACTGTAACGGCTTAAAAAAACTTGTTTTTGAGAATTTTTTTTTTTCAGTAGAAGGAAAGGTAATAGAAAAAAAATTTATTAGGCGTGTATCAAGTGTACAGAAAAAACTTTTCATTAAAAAATTAGTGCTTTCAAGGTGGAACAAAAAAAAAATTGCTCTTCATCTACAAGAGTATAGCTAAAGAAACACATACGGGATTGTAAAAATATTGTTTTTTCCAAAATGTGCAAGTGTTTGTTTATAACAATTGTTTAAATTAACTTATCGAAAAATCTGCACGTGTTTCTCTCCAAAATATTGTTTTAAATATGTGGTTAAAATTTCAAAAGAAAATATTGAAAATTGTTGGAGTTATGGTGCATGCCGTTTTGAAAAAGCGTGTTTCGAGAGAAACGTGTTTAAAGTTTTAGATATGAACGTGCACTAACGCTACACTAACGTACATTTGTTTGAAAATTTTGCTTTAATTGTACATGCATACTCCCTAATGACATCTATGAGAGAAGTTATAAATCAATAGGTAAGAATGTACGTGGTACCTTCCGAGCAAGTATGTTCATAGAGCAGGTAGCCGTATGAGAGATGCCCGACACGCTTCAGGAAAGGCGCAAAATTAAATAAGAAAAAAATGTTTTTCATGTATAAAACCTTTTGCCTCATATTCTAGAAGGTTCAAACTAGATTTTAAGAAAAAAAAAACTATTTTTTGAAAATTCTACAGTGGTGTAACCCCTATATTTGAAGGACTTTTAATTTTTACCCATGTTAATTAGCCTGTGTACTGAAAATTGGATCACCTTGTATATGAAGTCATACATTAAACCAATTTAAGTCCTAGCCGAAATACGGTAAACGATTGAATGATTGGAGACAATAATAAGTTGAAATTGTAGGATATGGCTTAGCATCAATTTTAGTATTACCCGATAATAATTACTTTGTGTTACATGCAACTAGTGAGTCTTCATCTACCCTAGATACTTCATCACAAATGGTGGTTGTTATACTTCAATTTGAGCCACAATATATCAGACTTAATGAAATATGGCACACTAAAAAGTTTATTAATTTGATGCATGGTGGAAGAATTTCTATGTATAGTGAATGTATAGTGTACAGCTTTGTCTTTGTGTTGCAATAAAATTAAGTTTAAGTACAACCAAACATCATTTTGAATGAATTTAATTAATAGAAAAAAAAAAATGCAGGTTAAATGTAATTTGTCGAGATGGTTAAAAAAACTACCTGAAATTTTGTTACATGGTTAAGTATGATTTCAGAATAAACCGTAATAAAATTTATTAAAATTTACATTAAAATAATTAAAATATTTTAAGTCTCGCAAAAGTAATTTTCAGTTTTGTTAAACTGCAATGAATATTCATACATTTCGGTATCTGAAAATTGACTTTGTTAATGTAGTTATTTCTGGAAACTACATACAAATTTCATTAAGCAGGTAAATCACCACAGTTAATAGACCATGAAAACTTCTAAATTCATAATTACGAGCAACTTTGATTAATGTGGTTATTTGTGCAAAATGTAGGTTGAACAGATAATTACAAAAAAGAATTTCATAAAGCAGAAAATATCATCTCAAATCAGTTGAAAATATTTTAATGTAAGAATTGTTTACTATTAACACATTTATCTATTAGATACTTATATCAGCAGACAATCCATATCCTTTACAAAAAAAATGTTTCATATAATATTATACAAAAAATTTAATTTATTCGATACCTTGTAAATATGTAAATATCCTAAACAAAATTTAAAATATATTCCTGTACCTACAGATAGAGACAATTTCGTTGCAGTTACTCTAATTGTTTGAAACATATTTTTTGCTGCGACTGTATGGACTTATGCTTAAATTTTTATGCAGATAATCTTACAGGACTGGGCCTGAATACCACGACAACTTCGCGCAGAGACTCTTTCGACCGTAACACTTCAGCTTTCTCGCCCTCGTTGGATTATAGACAGAAGTGGCCGACCTCGTACAACATCGGGAGCAGTCCTAGTCCCCTGACCGGCAGTTTGACACCTCCGCCAACAGCTCCTTTACAGCTCGGCGGCCTGGTCAATTCGAGAGTGCTGTCAGCAGCACCGGGCGCAGAAGCCAAGTACAGGAACTCCGTGGCTGCAGGACTGAACACAACTGCTATATTCGGCTCTACCAATTCGCTGTTCACAAAAATCAATTCATCTCTTACCACTGTGCCCAGCACACTCGACAAAGGACCTCAGGGAAGATCCAGACTGCTCGAAGATTTCAGGAATAACAGATATCCGAATTTGCAACTAAGGTAGGACATGTTTATCTTTTTATGCAGTATCCTGTGTTTTATTTAAAATTCCTCAACTTTGAATTTCAAAAACCAAAAGCTATTGTTGGTCATAAACGCCCTAAACTATGTGATGGTATCATTTTATAGAAAACACTTAAAATTTAAAACCAACATGTTGCTTAAATATTTTTGAAGTTTTCTTGAAAAACCTCTAAAAATAATTGATATTATGTTTTATTACCTTTTTTCCATATTTTCTATATCTTGTTGCCTTCTAAATGGATATGCCTATGGATTTTCGATCCCCACACACTTCTTCCTCCTTACTACTATCGATATACATGAAATAGACACCTGATTTTGGAAATCCATATTCAGAAAACGTAGGGGCAAAAAAATTTGAAATATGGACCATATACAGGGTGTAAGAAATTTGACTGCCTTTACTTCAGCATGAGGTAGAGTAATCATAAATGAACAAAAAATGTGTATATTACAGGGGCATAAGATTAACAGTTTTCAAAATACAGTGAGTATTAATATTGGGGAGTTTCATCACAACGTGACAATAACCTAACGCTACACAGCTGATGCATACCACGTGTGCTCGCGGCAGACTTGTCCTATGGAAAAAATGTAAACAACTATTATTGTGAAACTTTTACTAAATTTCAAGACAATTGTTTTTCAGTTTTTAAATAAATAAAATAAAATGTATCAATTTTGTAGTACGAAGATAGTGTTGTGCTTAAATTTTAGCTGGAATTTTAGCAATTATGAATCTCTTAAATCAGGAACTTAACTTTTAATCAGATTATGAATTTGAAAAATATGTAATTAAAGTATACAAAGATTCACGTCGTCCAAATAATTATATGTGTTAAAAATAATTTAGGTACTTGCGAAAAAGCAAAATTCAGTAATTTTTAAACGCACAAGTACAAAACAAACTACGACCATTTTGAATACACGCACAACACCTTCGAATCCAATTTTCCCGCACACGCTGGAAAACATCTCAAGAAAAGGAAATAGTGATTCTTAATATCGGTTTCCAAACTCGGGGGTCTATTTCATTTATTTCGATGATAGTCCAAGAGCTAGCGATGAGTCACTTTCCATAATTTCGACAGTGAAGTAAAGTTCTCACACTGCCAATTTCACTTGTCACTTTACTCGTCATCCTAAAGCTATGGTTTGTTAGAACTGTAGGCGACGCAAAGCAGACAGTCAGTTGTGCGCGTCGGACTTACGTTGGAATCTAGAACACAAGAAGATGCGTTGCTGGTTTGTTAGGTTCTGCTCAGNCACACTGCCAATTTCACTTGTCACTTTACTCGTCATCCTAAAGCTATGGTTTGTTAGAACTGTAGGCGACGCAAAGCAGACAGTCAGTTGTGCGCGTCGGACTTACGTTGGAATCTAGAACACAAGAAGATGCGTTGCTGGTTTGTTAGGTTCTGCTCAGATGGACTCAGGGTAGCGCTAACACTATTTTTCATCTTGTGAAATGTATGATTCCGTCGACCAGGAAACTGGTTCACCAGGTCAAAAGGGTATGCGATATATACTGTTTATTGTGAAGAAAAATGCAATTTATAGTAAGTAAGTACATAGAAATTTTTCAAAACTCAGAATTAATACACTTCGTAACAAAATTATTGCAAAAAAAAAATTGACATTTTTGTAAAGCGCATAGATCCGCCAATTATTGTTATATCAAGACATTTTTTTCGTTTTGTACGCAATTATCTGTACTTTAAAAAATATATATTCGAAATGGATACTAGTCGATGCCGCAACTCCATGTCCTGATAAAACCAAAGAATTTTTTTTTAAGAAATTTGATTGCTTGACGTGTTACCTGTGTCGCTCCAATTTTTTTTTTCAAAAATAAAACAGACTAACGTGAAGTGCACTTTCTAACAAGCAATTTGAAAAAAAATCAAGTACGATTTTTTTTGAGCGAGTTATGCCATTTTGAAGTTTATACGATACCCGATACGTATCGCGAGGTAGTTGTTGGTCGGACTTTACGCATCATTTTATCCCTGAAAGGGGTTATGTAAACCATGTGTCAAATTAGGGACCCCGTAGCTCGGCAGCAAATAATCAACTCGACAGATATAATATAACATGCGCAATATGAAAATTCATGTTACTTTTTGACCAAACTTGCTACTATATCAATAAAAAGCAATGGTGAAACAGGGAAATCAACGTAACGTAAACTATTGAAACTAATTTGAGATTATTAACTCTTCTTTAAAAATGTTAAAAATGCTTAGTACTTCTAGATGAAGTATTCGTATATGTCGAGAATTTTCTCGTAGAACAGATTAAGTTTAGCCAATATGGATGGATAGTCAATATTATTGGGTACAATTTTATGGAAAAAGAATTGGAAAAACACCATCAACTTTTGGAACAGTTTAAAAAATTTCTATTAGATTCAAGTATATTTATAGTATTTTCATAATTGTGACATCAAACAAGTGACATATATTCTAGTTTGTTTATAACACAAGGCACAATAAAAGATTAAAAAAAAATAAGAGAAAATAATTTGCGGTTAAGTGAAGTCGGCGACAGTTGTCTTAGGTTTTGGCTATTGTGGGATTATGAGCATTAACCAATCAAGGCACATCCTAACGTCAGTTATTTATAAATGTGTAGAATAATAATGGCCCTAGAACTGAACCTTGAGGTACACTAAAAGAGATTAGTAATTCAATAGATTTAAAACTAGTTGTCAAGAATCTTTGTGAAGTCCTGTAAGTTATGAGATTTGAATGCGTTTATACAGGGTGTAAATTAAGTACTACTACTCAGGGTAGGCAGAAAATTATGTATGTCGTCGGTTCAGTCGAAATCAAATTCGATTTGATTTCAACGCAGTTGTTCAATTGAGCCCACAACGTNTTTGTGAAGTCCTGTAAGTTATGAGATTTGAATGCGTTTATACAGGGTGTAAATTAAGTACTACTACTCAGGGTAGGCAGAAAATTATGTATGTCGTCGGTTCAGTCGAAATCAAATTCGATTTGATTTCAACGCAGTTGTTCAATTGAGCCCACAACGTACACGTTTATTTTTCACGAATTTTAAAATGTCGATCAAGTTTTCACCAGAGGAAGACGAGAAATTGATCGATCTCGTACGAGAACATCTCCCATTGTATACTGTCCCTTCCAAACGTCTTTTAGAAAACATTCGATCTTCACTTTTATTTTGACAACGACAACTAATTAAATTCAAAAGAAGACCTTCATGTTCATCCTCAATAAGTATTGTCAGCAAAAAATATTCACCATTGTCATGATAAAAATAAATTTTGCCAAAATAATAATAAATATTTTCGTCTGCACTTACCAGCATACCTCCCTTCAAAATCGATAAAGTAGAATGCTACAAACTCTGCTAACCGCGTATGTCGCCTGCGAAGCATAGCTCTAACAAACCAAAGCTTTACATCTCTGGCAGTTGTCAGTTTTAAGTTTTGTAGTATATTTTTGTAGTGTATCAGTTTTGGACAACAAAAACTTGTTTTCTCAAAATGAATTCTGAATGTTTGTCATAGATTGAGAAACTGTCAACAGTATTTATATTGACGATGTGTATATAAAAACAAAGATTTTTCGTTAGTTGATTAAATAGGAGCAATTTTAAATTCACTATAACCAAATGGACATTTAAAGAAAAAGATATATTAGAAGCAATTAGGGATCAGGTTAACAATTGTGCTACAAAACTCACTAACAAATAAATGTTTTTCACATAAACAACTATTCAGATCTTCTCTGGGACATCTACACCGATGAAAAATGTCATTCGTTTCTTAAATAAAGTTTATACACAACATGTTTTATAGAACTTATCTCTAGATGGCTCTTTTAGTTTTCGTAATACCTGATTAGAGAGCTTTAAATGCCGTTTATAACGCTTGAATTTATGGAGGGATGTTACAAACTTCACTTTATTTCAGGGATCTGGCCAACCACATTGTGGAATTCTCCCAAGACCAGCACGGCTCCAGATTCATTCAGCAGAAGCTCGAAAGGGCCACTGCCACCGAAAAACAGATGGTCTTCAATGAAATTTTGTCCGCTGCTTACAACCTCATGACGGACGTCTTCGGAAACTATGTAATACAAAAGTTCTTTGAATTCGGCACACCGGAACAGAAAACAACTTTGGCCCAGAAGGTTAGGGGACACGTGCTTCCTCTCGCCCTCCAAATGTACGGTTGCAGGGTAATACAGAAAGCGCTGGAGTCCATTCCGGCCGAACAGCAACAGGAAATCGTGAGGGAACTTGACGGGCACGTTCTGAAGTGCGTCAAAGATCAAAACGGCAACCACGTCGTGCAGAAATGCATTGAATGCGTTGATCCCAATGCGTTACAGGTGAGAACTCGTGTGCCGTTGACCATAAATTAGATTGATGTATTGTGTTCAGAAACTACAAGCAAAAAATTTCAGAAGTGAATCTAGTCATAAAAATCTTGGTACAAGTTTCTATATTTTCCGAAACTCAAAATTAATCAAATTATGTACCTCCAAAGTTATTTTTCTATATTTTAAGTACCACATTTTTTATTTTAGTCGAGCTATTTTTTTTTATTTGGTAAACTAATTATTGGCAACAAATTGCAATTACAAAAAAAGACCCATTCTAAAGCCGTAAAAGACTAATATGGTTGTTATTGTCAGGTCAAAAGTGACAGGTTTTTTGCTGAATACTTGATATCGTGGTATGGTGTTCAACAAACTCTCGCTTCAATTAAGATGTCAACTTAGAAAATTGTTTAGAGTGAATTGTTTTTTCAGCTATCAGTAAAGGTCTCATCATGGACCATTCCGACCAAAGACTCGATGATTTTATATCTTTTGGCCTTTCGGAAAAATAATTAAGCAGATACTTCACTTCACTTTTCCGAAACACACCATTCCGGAAGACATTTTTACACCAAATCATATTGTTTGCTAGTTATTATATTCTTTTTTCCTAAAAGATCTCAATATATGAAAAAAAATAAATAAAAAAATTACGTACTCTTTGATTTGAAGCCTGATGACCTGGAATGTGTCACGTACAAATTTACGCATCAAGCTATCATGTCCTCACAGTGAGTTTTCCCTATACTGGGCATTTCAAAGTCTAGTTGGCTGTCAAAGCAAACAAATCCTTCAAAATGTATAAATCGGGTTTTTTCGTTGTAAAATCTTTAAGGGAACATATACAATTAGACGGAGGAAAATGAGTCGATTTTGAGGAATTTTTTAAACTATGAAATATTCATTCTACATTCATCAGACTGTAGGTGTTCTTTAATAGGATATTCAAGTATAATTTTTTTTTTTTAATTCATCGTTAAAATGGCGGACGTGTGGTAGAGAGTCACAGCAAGGTTACGGTGCGACTTCCAAAACGGTGTACATACTAGTTTCCCGTGAAATTCGATTGCATCAAATTACAAAAATTTTCTTATTTAAAACGTGACGTCAAGAAAAATGGAAAAAAATGCAAATTTTAAAAAACGGCACGCATTTAAAGACAAAAATCGAATTTTCATGCGAAATTTCTGCAGAATTGGTATAAAAAAATGTTTGCAGACGGAGTCATTCGATAAACAAACATCATGTTTTTGTGGACAAAGCGGCAACTATAAAGTGTAAAAAATTTGGGCGGCTATTTCCCGAAACTCATCCAGTTAATTCTCCTTCAAACATCTGGTCTACCTGTGCGGTCTTGCTTTTACCTGCGGCGAGCGCTTCAGACCCAAGCGGACACGCACAACGTTTACGGGCTATAACTTTCGGAGTTCTTCAAATTTCGCTTTCAAACTATCAGAATATATTCTTCACATTCGATCAAAAATCGATTTTTTTTATATTCTTAAACGATAGAACTATCGTTAATTTTGAGTTTCGGAAAAAATCGATTTTCTGATCGTATATGTCCCCTTAAACAAACGAAATCATGCGGCCGAGAAACCGTAGCCAAGTTTAAAATTTGATTTAAAGCTCTTTCACTGACGTTTATGAATTTGTGTCGAAGAGCGACCAATTGCTCATATTCCTTTTGTGGAGAAAAAAGCACCCCTCATCAAAGATAAATTTATTGAAGAAAACGCAAAGTCTTACTAGATGAAAGCGACTCCCCATGTAGAGATGCGGATTGGTGAGAACTGGAAATATTGTATGTTGTCATGCACTTGAATAGTACTATTATATGTTTTTAAAGAATCTATGTAGTACAAATATTCATAAAAAATGTATTATTTCTTATGCAAACACACACAGATGTGTAAAAACTCTTGTTATTGTACTGAAGTTGCCAAGCTGTTTGTGCAATAAAGAATGACTTTACGCTTGTAAGATACAAGGTACAAATAACTATTTTGCTCCTACTTTCTGAACACCTGTATAAAAAAAACTTCTTAATACTGTTTTTGATTAAATTAAACCAACTTTTGCCCCTTTCTAGTTCATCATCCAGTCATTCTCAGGACAAGTCTATACGCTTTCGACACACCCATACGGTTGCCGGGTCATCCAACGCATCTTGGAGCACTGCACTCCAGAACAGACCGCACCCATCCTGGCCGAGCTGCACCAACACACTGACCAACTTATCCAGGACCAATTTGGAAATTACGTCATCCAACATGTTCTAGGTACGTGAAAAGGACCACCGGTTCGATTTCGTTTTGACTTACATGTACAATTTATTTGCAGAGCACGGTAAACCAGAAGACAAATCTCAGCTGATCAACAGCGTCCGTGGAAAGGTTCTAGTTCTGAGTCAGCACAAGTTTGCCAGTAACGTCGTGGAAAAATGCGTCACTCACGCTACAAGAGCTGAAAGGGCATTGTTAATCGAGGAAGTGTGCGGATTTAATGACAAGTAAGTGGAATAGATTTACAACATTAGAGTAATTCCATATTATAGAAATTACGAGTGTTGCCTTTTATATCTCGGGAATAGATAACAAAAAAAGAAATTAATGATTGTATATAGCTTTATTGTTTTTCAAAATATTCTCCATGAAGATCAAGACACCTTTGCATGCACTTGAACCAATTTTCGAAGCAAAACATACACTTTGAACGAATCAACCATTTCCTCAGGTATCGAAAAACGCTAACCTTATAATTTAATTTTGATGTGCCAGAAAAGAAAATTCATTGGGTACCAAATCAGAGTTGTATGGCGGATGACTCGTCTTTTCGACCGTTTCTTAAAAAGTCTCTCTTTTGAGTCAATGCGTGGGAGCTCACATTGTCCTGGTGGAGAATGATACGTCTTCGGTTGTTGGTTTCCCTTATTTTTCCGAAGACTTCTTACAAACAAATGTACTTATGGTACAGTTACCACTTGTTTGGTTTTTTCGAAAAAATGGGCAACCATTTACTTAGAAGTATTTCGTGCGCAAACAACTTGTTGTATTTGTCTCATCTTAAGGGGTTTTTTCAAGAATTATTTTTTTTTGAGCATTCTTTTATAATAATCATGAACAACCAATCGATTAAGCAACCTTTAGGAGTAAGAAAAAAATTTTTTATTGAAAATTTCTTGTAAAATGGTGGCTATCGGAGTGCATGAACAAAACTAAATTTTTCAAAGGTCCTCCGTGGCGAGCAGTAGAAGTCCCCTGGATCACCATCTGGAAGTTTAAAAATTTTTTTTTCATAAACTACATGATTTTAGCTCACACGATCATAATTTTAGAAATTTTTTTTCGCAAACTGGCGAGACATTGAACAAAAAATTCGAATTTTCAACAAAAAAATCAACTTTGACTATAAAAAAAATCTTGCTTGTTGATCAATTGTAAAAATCGTGTGTACTTCACTAGATAACCACACGATGAAGTTTCAGTTCAATTCTCAAGTAGATCCGATGAAAACTCTTTGAGTTCTGCTGCTCGCCGATTTCAAAAACATGGTTTCGGGAAAAACAAGTTTGAAGTTTAAGAACGCTGTAACTTTTGGAAATCATAATAATATGGGGTGCATACAAATTTTTTCACCATCACTCTGCTATCCCGGCACCATGTAATTGACGTTCCATAGTCGTATTTTGCTCTTCCTGCTCTTTTCATGGTTATGAAATCAATGAAAGATACCCAAAAGACTCATTTACTTCTCTTTCACACTTATCCTCATCAAGTTTGAGTTTCTTTGCCGACGCGCTCACGAACTCCGGATCGCACTCAAATGAATGACGGTTAGGCTTACGTCCATTTCTAATTTTACTTCGTTTACGAGCTGTCGATTTTTACTACTTTTATGACTTGCATACAATTTATCACTCAGATTGCACCACTGCAAACAAATCAGCAAAGTCAAATAATAACAAACACAATAATAGCACAACTAGGAACTACAGCGTACAGCTGATTGACGACGCACATGCTCTAATCATCGTAAAAATCTTATATTCAGTTCAGTATACACGGCTGTAAAATCCACATGGTCCAGCTGCTGTTACATAAGAGCGACAAAGTAAAGAAATCCGTGCGATAAACAAGGATGGCTATAGTGAAGACGTTTCATAACCTGAAGTTACCGCCCGTTTCGGGTTAGAAGTGGGAGTGACTATTCAGATTATGAAATGTCTTCAATATAGCCATCTTTGTCTATCACACGGATTTCTTTACTTTACTGTGTCGCTCTCATGTAGAGGCAGATGGACATGTGGATTTTCCAGCCCTGTATAATAACGTTTTTTTTTTGCTTGTGATGACATTTATCCTTCACTTTTGAAGTATTTTCTCCATGAGTGGTAAGTTGTAGGCATGTTTACGTGCACGAAATTGAAAAATGCTGTATTGACAATAGAAGCGAAATCTGCAATTTTTACTCTTCGGAATTGCTTCCGAGAAATTAATTCTACGAAGTTTTTTCATGTAAAAAAGTTTTTGATTATGAATCTAAGAATGATTTACCGTATTTTAAGCCAATAAAAAAAAAGTAAAAAAGTGATATAACCCCTTAAAAGACCCATACAGTCGATTGCTGTTTACTTTGGGGGCTCATACGCATATGCTCATGGTTCATCCCCTGTTGTGTCAAAGACGTGTTTTGAAGCACCGCAATCTTATGTTTTGAGCACTTCTTTCGACCAATTATTGGCCTTTTTTGAATGTTTGTGAAATTATGTGGGATCCAACGTGTACAATTTTTTTTTTTGGAGGCCACCATGTACCAAATATAGTGGTTTTTGATGGCATTTCATCCCTAAAAGTTGAAATAATCTCATCGATGCACTATTGCATAATCCACATCAAAAGTTGTAAGAAATAATTGCACAGAAATGTTCACAACACAACGCTTGTACTTCAAAATGTTCTGAGTAAATTTACTGACAAAAAATCGTACTTTACAATATGGACATCGGTTGTCAGATGGCAGCACCAAGATTGTCCTTTCCCGAAATGTAAAAGGCAACCCAACTTCCGCAGCCCGCAGGCTTGAAACTTGGCCCTTGAGTTTGCGCCCCTGGCAACCGCTCCCTTGGCCAGCCCCTAGCTACGAACCTGTCTCTATGTTTTGAAATCAATTTGATTTAAATCGGACAAAAAACAAACAAATTATTATGCTGTTACACTATTAAAAGAGACACAGATAGCATAACAAGTCTCGTATATGGATTGCTCAAATAATATCCAATTTATATTAATATTTATTATTATTATTTACATTAATATGTGGTCGACCTAGAAATCTGTAAGCTGAGCATGTTATGGGCTCCACACATTAGACAGTTTTTAACTGTACGGTAAAGCCTGTATGGGTCAAAACTTGTTTCAGTTTTAAGCAGGGAACTCATTATGAACGGCCGGCTCGGCAACGGAAGGAACGGCACGAGACAGGACCGGACGGTCGCGTACTGTAGTTAACTCATTTGTAACAGCCAGTACGTCACCGAATTGGAAAAGAAGCTAGTTGCAATGGAGAGCTCGTCGAAAGAGGAGCTAATAATAGTAAGTGTGCATTGCACAATTTCTCAAGAAATGATAAATATTCATGGCAACCAAATGAATTAGAGGCCGAGTCTTGAAACTTTTCAGAAATTTGTTTCCATGCATTGTCCTTCTTCCTGTAGTCGCGGTAACTGGAATTCAAGACATCATCGAGGAATGGATATTTCCTCGCTATTTCTATAAGAAGTTCTTCAGAAGCCATGTTCATCTAACGACAGAATAAATGATGCAGATACTAGTTTTGACTCGATATCCGTTCGTCTTGAACGGATTTTATTCCCCTCTGGAAATTCCGGCCGGTCCGTTGCCTTGCTGGACTGTGCCGAACTGAGCCGAGCGTTTGTAATGGGTTGCATTTCATTGAAATACACGTAAACGAATTTTACCGGTACTGTGCCGTCCGGTCCGGTGCCGAGCCGTCCGTTTGTAATGAGTTTCCTGCTTTAATCGCTCAGTAAAAAAAAAAAAAACAGCACAATTTAATACATGCCATATAGTGTATATAATGTAAGGTGTAATCAGTTAAACTTTTCTTAGCAGTAACAAGACGAAGCAATATATTTTATTAAAGCCTGTTTTGCTCAAGAATGTACATAATTTTATTAATTTGCACTTTGGCTAAATCAGAATAATTTTTGTGTTAATATTTCTTATAATATGTAAAGATAAAAACGAATTAAATTTTTGTCGGGAGCATAGAGTTATAACTATATGGGGTCCATGGGGGTTGGTTGCGTGTCAAATAGTAATGCTCTCTTTCTGACATGATAATATGCTTTTGCCACACTTATTTTTTTTATATATTACCGTTAAAACCCATCGAATCTTATATCACCGCAATCATAACGAACGTATCCAAATAATTAAAAATATACATTGTCACATTTAAAACAGTTTTCTGTTATATCAATAAAAGCAGTAGGCTGAAACTACAGCACTATTCAAAAACATGTATTATGCGCTAAGTGGTACACTACGGTACGAAATGCCTAAAAGCGGGCCAAAAATAGAAATTTATTCCAAATTGTACAAGAGTGGGTATACTGGGATTTTTAACACAACTGATTACGAATTTGATATCAAAATTTAAATTTAAAAAAGTCGAATAAGGTGTTTCGGGATTTTTTACAACACATTACGAATTTCATATTGAAATTTGACAAAATTTTGTCATTTTATCATGTTATTCTGTTGAATATTGTTGAAAGTCACGGGCTCAGAGTTAAAGCTTTCTTTCTTTAATTTGTTACTCAAATTTTAATACACATAAATGAGTGTTTTAGCAGATCTGATCAAGTCAAACTGACCTCGATTTCGGATTAAGCGACCCCAAAAACATGTAGGTACATTAGTTTACTTTGTTAGCAATTGATTCTGTACATTTGACCTTGAATTGACCTTAACGCAGACTTGATCGGATCAAACAGACACCGGATTCGGATTCACCGTCCCGAAAAACGTATAGATATGGAGGTTTACTTTGTTGCCAAATGATTCTCTACATTTGACCTTGAACTGATCTTAACGCAGACCTGATCGGTTCAAACAGACACTGGTTTCCAATTCAGCTACCCCAAAAGATATAGATACCAGGGTCTTGTCTTTCAAATATTCCACTTTTTTCTGTGTGGCTGTGAATTAACAAAATTAGATACTTGAAATTATAAAATCAGTATGCATTGACTATCCTCTCCTATGTTATACTCGAGTATTCTTTCTCTTTATTTACTTATTGCTCTTTACTATTTTACTTATATCTATTTTTCCAAACATTATTTTTACTTACTTTATAATGAGTGCAATATTCTTTTCACTTTTTGTTCGATATTAACGAAGTAATTGAATTACGATTTATTGCAACTTTTGCTTTGCTTTGCTTTTTTGCTTTTTGTAAAATTGAAAGTGCAGCTAAGCGCAGATGTTTTTTTCATAATATTATAGTAAATTGATCATAGATTATAGGTCAATAAGTAATTTAGCCTTATGATGCCTTATATATAACTTTTATGTTCACTTTTGAATGATTTTCGTAATAAATTTAAGCATTATTTGTCATAAACAATAATGAAAATAAGTGGACTATGAATAATTTATTATGAATAATGTATAATGTTGAAATACTTTACATACTTCCTGGAACAACGTCCATTTTATTACGACTTTATCAGAACAATAAATTAATTTTTACAGCACTTTGAACATGTGATGAATTTTTTTGTTAGCTTAGGCGGCCACGAGACACACACAATAAGGTTACTTCAATTTCAAATTCTAGTTCCAGTATAAACGGCAAACTGTTTCCACCAGTCAACTTGAACAGCCCAATTATCCCTATTGCCAACCTGATACTTAAAAAATTCCAAATAGAAACTTTTTTTCCATTTTTGGCCAGCTTTTAGGCATTTCGTACTATAGTGTGGCAGGAGAAAATAGCATGAGAATTTTTAAATGTCTTCTATTTAATTGGTTGTTGGATACTATATGGTTCATGTCCACTGGCACAGTATGTTTCCGTTTCCAATTGCAATTTTTCTTTCCAGCGCACTCCACGTAATGATGAAAGACCAATATGCCAACTATGTGGTACAAAAAATGATCGACGTCAGCGAACCGACACAGCGCAAGGTGCTGATGCACAAGATCAGACCACACCTGAACTCTCTGAGGAAATACACTTATGGCAAACACATAATTGCCAAGCTGGAGAAGTACTTCATGAAGGCTCCCGGCTCATTGGGCTCCATCGGAGGGGAGCTGGGCCCCATCGGCCCGCCCACCAATGGCGTCCTTTAATTTTAATCAATCATGTTTCATTTCAATCATGCTTATTAATTTAAATAGATTTTTACGTTTTCGACTAATTGTGTGTTAGTTGATCATGTCGGATACACACAGTTCCAGTATTTTCATTTTATTTTCTCTTCAATTTTAATGGTTTATAATTTTTTTTTCGTAATTTTTTATCATGATTTTTATTTTTTAAGGTTAGCATAGTTAAGATTATCGTGTATACATATATTGTCTGTATTATAGCTGTAATTTATGTAATTTGTCTTTAGCATCTTATATTCATTGTTGCGTTGATTGGCTTTTGTTTTATAACTTTTCTCTCACGCTCATCTCTTACTTTATACGTATTACATGTATATTTTTTATGGTTTAATTGCAATTATTTAGTCGGATTTAATTTATTGGATGGGTTTGGAGTTTTGATTTTAAGATTTGGATAAAACAAAAGGCAAGCGCAATTTCAAATAACGTGCATGTTCATTTGTGTCTCCTAACAATAATACATAAATGGTTGTATAGAAAATTTGTAAGAAACGAATCTCAAATTTTATTTTGATTTTGGAATGGATGGAAAATTCGGAACCACAAATTGTACATAAACAGTGTTTTAAACATATACACGGAACCAACAGGAAAACTTGGAAATTTTTTAAGTGTCCCCAACTTTTTCAGACAGTACGTTAATAATTGTGATACGGTCCTCAGGAAATAGACTTGAACATCATCAACATTATGAAGTTCATCCAAATCAAATTTTTTCTAGAGCCACACACCGCACACCATTGACGCTGTTTCTCTTTCTCTCTTCCCGGTTTTCTCAGTCCTTTCTGCGGATCCCTCAAAATCCAAAGTCAGCGTTTCGCTACACACACACACACATACACATAACGTTGCATTTATTATAGGAATTAGGCATTTTTATCATATTAGAAATTATTAGAAGTCGTGTTTTAACGCCGGATTCTATTGATTTCGTCAAATACTTCACGGACCTCGAGGAGTTGCCCGATCTTGTCCCTTTTGTGGCGAATGTATTTGTCACACGTGAGGGGGGGAGACGGGAACTGGCAAACTGCATACATTTGTTGAATTTGCAAAAATATATATTTATTTATCGTGATTTCATTGAGTGAGTTATTTTATACATTGTAAAAAAAGCGAGTTGTCATGTGTAAATATAAGTTTTATCGAAGGCTAGGTTGTAAAAAATGTATAATTTCCGTGTAAATAGTGAAGTATTTAATTGGAATTGAGAGAATTCAGAGACGAATATATGGTCTGTTTGAAAACTTTAAAAGAATTTCCTTGTAATTTAGATGAATTAATGAGCTGTTATTAATATATTAACATAGGAATTATATAAAGTAGAATTTGATGGCACGTTTCCTTTAATTGATAAAAACATATGTAAAGTGTATTTGTAATAATTGTAAAGTTCTTTTCGTAAATTCCATTATATTAAATAATAGTTATGATTACGATTATAATTTAATTGCATTTATGACTGTTTCTGTGTTTTTGAACTAATCTCTATAAATTATTACATATTTGTATCATCAAGTCGTATATCACCATAATTTTTAATAGTATTAGGACAAAAACACTGTTGTGAGTGCTTTTTTTACACCGGCGGACATTCCACGTTCGAATATTTCCACACGGTCGCGGCGTAAGTCAAAATAGCTTTTATAAATTGACAGGTTTTCTGAAAATGAAATATTACGTTTCCATCTCTAATAATTTTAGTTATTTGTTGCTAATGTGTTGTTTGTTTAAACTTTTAACACTAATCTCATAATGCCAGGATTGCGGTAAGTCTCGCAGGATTTTATTTTAAAATTAATTAATGTACAGGAACAATCGAGAATTGAAATTTGGATACATAGGGTGGTCCAGAAAGAAGTAAGAAAAAATTAAGGGACGATTTTACTTGTAAACGTAATGGCACAAGTTCCTATGATGCTTTCGAAAAATCAATAGGAAGAAGTTACATAACCTCAAAGCAACTTTTTTATTGATATTTTGCTTGAAAATAAACGATTTATAAGGAAAGGAAAAAATGAAATTCTGGAACACTGGAAAGGGTAAGTGGCCCAAAAAATTGATCGTAACTTTTCTATTTGCGATTTTCAAAAAAATAATAATAATTACTAAAAAAATCATACAAAGTGGTTCGCTTTTTCTAAGTTGATAACGTTAAGTGTTTCCGAGAAGAAATAGTTAAATATCTGAGGACTATGTTTTGCATGGTAAATTATAAATTTTAAATTTCACAATTTTTATAAATTCACCGATGTGATAATGTGGCCGATTTTAATAATGGACAGTGCCCAGGGACGTATTTTCCTAAGAGGTCGTCCATGAATCGTGAGATTTTTAGGCCAACATTGCGTGTGTTTTTTGTTAAAAAAAAACTTCAATATTTTCAGAATACTTTTTTAAGAAAATCAATGAAGAAAAAAGCCGACGGTTGTGAACCAGCACGAGCGAGGCGTCGGTTGATCTTACAAAGATCGACCGTGTCAATTGCGTGTTACTTATCGTGATGTCATATCGCAGCTTACAGTAAGGCATTCTTGGGCATGGTTGCGTGAAAATATACCCTCATTGTGAGCAATAGTGCTGTTATCCAAAGCCGCCCCCCTATTTGGACCTCACATGATTAATGGATGGCCCCTAAGGACATAGGGGGCGATGTCCCAAGGCGGTCCAAGGGCGGCCGTCCCTCTGGGTTTTTTGCTGACATTCTGCGTTTACTAACGTACTGGGGCAGCCGATTGTATTCACCCAGGGCGGATCATTTTGAAGTACATCCCTGACAGTGCATGAAACGTTATTTTATGTTCAAATTACAGTTTCATTATAAAATAGAGAATTTTTTACTGTTTTTAAAGGCTGCCCAAAGTGTTAAACATATTTTTTTTTTGTTTATAAACAAGGTGTCTCCACAAATGCCACAAATAACTAACTTCAAACAATTATGTGTCCTTTAGGGCTTCAGTACTTTTTCCATAAGTGCAATTTGTTAATTAAACAAAATTTTAAATAATCACTACTAAAATAGAAAACTTCAATTAGAAAAGAATATCTTTGAAGTTATGTAATTCCCCTGACACTGAAAACTCAAAAAGGAACCTGGCCATTATTTTTGTTAGTAGAATCTTTCCTTAAATTGTTTGCGCTTTGTAGTATATATTTTTAAATTTAAATTTCAGACACTCAAGACGGTGCAGAATTTTCATATCCTTGGATAAATTTATTGACAGGTATATTTACATTTATTTTGTTTAAATATATTGTTCACTAAAAGTTTTGGGTTTACCGTTAAGTGTAGTGCGACTAAATTTGCATCACTTTTTAATTGTGGGTTACATTTTTTCCATAATAATTTTATATTTCCACTATTTACTTTTTTTTTCTAATATACTTTTTTTCATAACATCAAACTTAAACTTATTGTCATGCATCATGATCAAAACTTGTTTTTATCAATCTGTTTAATTTTTTTTTAATTTTTTGTCATCCCGTTCCTTTAAAAATTTTCGTTAACAGTAGGGGTTGAGGTTTCTTCTAATTTTACGCGTTTATCCAAAATAGAGCAGTTTTTAATTTAAACTTAAATTCAAGTGCAGTTCAAATCCTAATTACTGTTAAATAAAATTAGTTGAGCAATGGAATGGAGCTGGTTTATACCTTTTTACAAAAGTTTTGCCTCTCGAAGACCGTTTAGTTAGCGTGAATTTCGATCCAATTTTATACTGAGACTATATTTTATTATGAATGTCCTAGGTTTGGAAATAACCTAATAATTTTTTTTCGAATACTTATTGTTTACAAATGGAATGTCCGTGTGATGTAAGGACCAGTCACACTAAAGGATAACATTCAGTCATCTTTGGTATGTGTACATAGAGTACCCAATTTTGTATTATATGTAATATAGTTTCGTTCATAACATTTCCAAACAGCCACTTCAAATGCCATGTTGGTAGCTTGTACACTTATTAAGGATAACTGCGACACCACCACATCTCCCCCACTCCGCTAGTGATATGTATATATGTTAATCATTTTTAAATTGTATCACATGTATTTATATAGAAAAAAAATGTTTAATAGTGTAATATTGTAAAATAATCCATTTTGTACTTAGAAATTATTTGTATTGTATTTTTATCATGTGAAATAATTGTTTGCGTCTCTGCCTTTTGCCCGGCTCGTTTCTGATCTCTTAAATTCGAAATTGAAGACTTCCACCCCACATATTCCCTAACGTCTCTTCCTCCCGTTTCCGAATCCTGTCGAATAGAACGGACATTTTTTATATTTAAGAAAGGGTCGGAGGAGAGGCAAAAGCGTTTTAAAATAGTGTGGTGGGGAGTATCGGTAAGATGGCCAATTCCTTTGAAGATGGCAGACTGATGTAAAGATACTAAACAAGATGTAAAGTGTAAATTCCATTTGGTTATCACGTTGTAAAACTGTATAATACATGTGTAAAAATATGAGCCGTTTTGGGTATCATGTAATTAAATTGTAAACTATGTATTCTAAATTGGAGCGATCTGTTTGTTTTATTGTACTTTGCGGCGGGGCGCCACGCCCTGCCCGCTTGTAGGGTAGCTGGACGGGGATCACTTATGTTCACAACAATATGGCTCTCTGCGGATCTACGGCTGTATATTATATTTATTATGCGATCTGTTTTATGAATGTGTAAATTTAGTTATCGAATGCATGCTAGTTTATTAGGATATCAATATGTATGATAATGTATTTCGATTTTATTATTTTTTACCACGGTAGTATAATAAATAATAAACAAATAATTACATTTTTGCTTTTTTTGCATTCTCTTTCAGTTTCTGTACACATAAGATAGTTGCTTGTTTGGTTCTTTAGCAAATGTTGGGATTGTCATTATATATCCCTAGGAATAGACTGTTCGATATTAATTCACAAATAAATGTCAGAAAAGTAAGCTTGCATTTTTTTCCAAAAGTAACTTCAACATACTCGGCCAGAAGATCATTCTACCGTACAGCCCCTGTTGATCTGGACACTGTCATGGTGATGCCTCGCTCTACTTCGGCGAAGCAAATAAAAACGGGGGGTTGTGTGGCCGTGAGGGCCGGGGAAGATGCGAAAATCGCAAAAACCATGGCACAGAAGAAGCCGAGGGGCCCGGCAGAGGCGTTCAGACCCCCGTCCGACTCAATATACCCCGCCGGCTGCGTTGAGTGGATTATGAAACCTCGACACGAGTCAGTCGGCACTATCAACATCGCTGATACTCTCAGCGCTTATATAAGAAAGAATTCATACTTTTTTAACAAATAAATCTTTAATTTCAAACCGACCATTCCATTTCCCAATTCCTACCTGGAAAAAAAAATAAACAAATAAAAAAGGCAAAAAATATATTAGGACAAAAAAGGCTAAGCAAATACAAATCAGAAGAAAAGTGAAAAATATATCGATAAGAGTAGAAACAAAACAAAAACAAATTAACAAATTAATTAAAAATAAAATAAAATAAACAGAAAACCTCCAAACCAATATTAGAAAAGAGTCATACCGACTACCCAAACATAGAAAAAAAAAATAAAAACATTCTTCGAAACGACCTATGGAGAGCCAGCCGAGGATGTCAACCCAGGACTCGTTTGGATTTCCCGAAGCCTTGGAAGAAGACGACACAAAAATAATTTTGGCATCCTGCCTGCCCATTTAAATTTGCATCACCAAAAAATGTTTTTGAGTGTACAGGGGACTTTCAAGTTTCAAGTATAATTTTGTAAAAAAAAATCAAAAGGCAGTTTGAAAATGATTTAAAAATACACTTCCGCATGGTACTGGAAACTGATCTTGTGCAAGGTAAAGCATGCAGTCGGCGATCGGCACTGTAGCTAAATGTAATAAAAAACGAACAAACAAAAAATTTAAATAATTTCTTTACCAAGGAAAGATATACTATTTACATCTATTTTATATCAGCAGAATCTGAGGTTTGCCATCTGTGAACGCAATCCTGAGCCTTATGCAGGTATTGTCTTCTTCATCTTATTTTCAGTTTTCTTTTTTAAAAAATATTAAACTCTTAGTCCAACCAAATTACACTTGTAGAAAAAAAAAAATGTTACCCAGACTTTTATAAGTGGAAATGGTAAAAGGGCTTATAATAAACCTAAAAAAAATAAATGCGTGAGCAGGGGCGGCGGAGGGTTGATTTGGGGGGTTGAAAAGTTATGAAAAATTGTATCATTGGGATTTCTGGCGAAAGTTGACGTCAAACAAAATAGTATCCAATACAAAAGTTGTAGATCATGCAAAAATCTACAACTTTTGTAGAAATCACTTTTGAACATAACCTCAAAATTTTCGAGAAAAAATGCGAAAACAGGTTTTTTTCTGATTTTTCGTTTTTTATTTCTCATTTCCGCAAAAATAATTTAATTTTGATGAAACTTGGTGAAAGTATACCTTTCTCTGTCTTAAATAACCTCAAATTTTTTAGATAAAAAATCAAGAAGTTTCTGAGAAATTCATTTTTTTCGGCCTGAAACACTTTTTTCAAAGAAAAATTCTACTTAAAAAAGTCATCTTACAGAGTTCTGCCAATAATTATTTTTTTCGTTTTAACATATACTTTTTGGTGAAATAAAAAAATCTGTAATAACAGTTCAAAAACATACTCAAAAATGCAAAAAAAATAAAAAATGACGCAACAATGAATTTTTCAGTTATCGTTGATAATTTGTTTAAATTAAAAAACATTCAAAAACTGATTACACATATCAATTCTACGGACAAAAATTAAAAAAAAGGTATCTCATTGTTTGAACCAAAACTTTTTGTACAGTATTGCTATAAACATCTAAGTCGAATTATAAATGCTCAATTGATAAATTATCTCTAGACGATCTGAGATTTCAGCAATACAAAGTATTAACTGCAAAATCTACTGTTGACGCGAAATCCGAAAACCCGAAATTTTGCAAAATCGTTTTATATTTTTTCTGGCTTTATTTGAAAACGATTTTAAATACATTGCATATTTACATTGGCACTTTTTTCGCTCTATGCAATGATGTCAACATTTTTGCAAAATCGTTTTATTTTTTCTGGCTTTATTTGAAAACGATTTTAAATAGATTGCATATTTACATTAGCACTTTTTTCGCTCTATCCAATGATGTCAACATTTTTGCAATCCGACGTTTCGTCTTCGAGGGGCCATCATCAGATTAATTTTTTTAAATACATCGCTGCTATTTTTATGACAAAATCTAGTCATTTTTAATTCTGTATTAAATGATATTACTATTGTAAAAAGGTTTTTAGCTATCATTAAAATTTTTTCTGAGTACGGCTCTGATCGCTTTCAAAATACCTGTATCTATTGGAGGAGAGAGAGAGAGAGAAAGAGGAGAGAATAAAAGTCAATATACAGCACAAAATATCCAACAATTTTTTTTAATCCATAATTTAAAAAGTTGTACCTAATAAAAAAATAATACGAATTTATGAAATATTTTATTACTTCTAATTAGTATTCCTAATAGTAGTAAAAAATTGTTGGATATTTTGTGCGGTATTGACTTTTATACTGTTATGACTTCATCCAATAGATATTTTGAAAGCGTTCAGAGCCGTATTCAGAAAAAAATTTAAATTATAGCTAAAACAAGCTAAAAACTTTTTAAGCGATTACAATAGTAATATCCTAAAATTCAAAATTAAAAATGACTAGATTTTGTCATAAAAATAGCAGGGATGTATTTAAAAAAATTAACCCGATGATGGCCCCTCGAAGACGAAGACGAAACGTAGTATTGCTAAAATGTTGATGCCAGAGCGAAAAAAATGGCATTGTAAATATGTAATTTATTTTAAAATTCGTTTTCAAATAAAGCCAGCAGAAAGAACAAGAACAATTTTGCAAAATTTGGGGTTTTTCCGGATATCTCCGGAACTACCCGGAATTTTAAAACTTTCTAAACAGCATATTGTTAGGTATAAAAAAATACAACTTTTTTCTAATCTGAGCCACCCCGTACCTCTTACCGTTTCTTAGACCCTAATGCCTATCCCATCCTTATCTTGGACACACTGTATATCTATGAATTCATCAAACTTTAAAAAAAATAAGTACACTAATCGATCCCACGGAAAAAAAATTATTGTTTATTTTATTTATTCACTATTCGACTTATGTTTATAGAAATACTGTACATAAATAGTATTTGGGTTAAACAATGCGACGGTTTTTTTGTATTTTTTCCGTACAATTGAATGGTGTAATCAGTTTTTGATTTTTTTTTAATTTAAACAAATTATCAACAATTACTGAAAAATTCATTGCTGCAAGTAATTTTTTACTTTTCTGCATTTTTGAGCATGTTTTTGAACTATTATTACAGATTTTTTTATTTCACCAAAAAGTATAATATGTCAAAACGAAAAATATGATTACCGGCAGAACTCTGCACGATAATTTCTTTAAGGAGAATATTTGTTTGAAAAAAAAGTGTTTCTGACCGTTTTTCGCATTTTTCTTGGAAATTTTGAGGTTATGTTAAAAATGACCTCTACAAAAGTTGTAGATTTTTGCATGATCTACAACTTTTGTATTAGAGACTTTTTTGTCTGACGTCAACTTTCGCCAGAAATCCCAATGATACAATTTTTCATAACTTTTCAACCCCCGCCGCCCCTGCTCACGCATTTTTTTTTTCGTTTATTATAAGCCCCTTTACCATTTCCACTTATCCAAATGTCCAGGTAACAATTTTCTTTTTTTTTCCTCTAAATGAGTTATTTTGATCGGTCTATACGTAGTTTTCGAGTTATAGTTAAAAAACTGAAAAAAGTGCCGAAAATTTGATTTTTTTGCAATTTTCCTTGTGAAGCCGACGCCTGGCAAGGTGGCAAACCTCAGATTCGGATTGAGCACCCCAAAAGATATATAGAACTGGTGAGAAAAAACTTCTACATTTTTTTCCTGGAAAAAAACTTTGCTTACTGGATTATGTGGTTTTAATTAATAAAATAATCTGACGTACCTGATGTTACAATAAACTATTAAAAATTTTGTCCACCGACTTGTAAACATATTTGGGCCTGTCATATCCAGTTTGTACGAACTAACACAAATGTCTTGCTTCACCATAAATTAAAACGATATCCAGCAACTCCGAGTTGCTATATGTATAGCATGCTTACATGCTTACATGCTTACATGCAGCACATGCTTACATGTGTAAGCCATTTTTGGTACTTGGAAAAGTAATGTAATATCTATTAAAGTCGGATTTCAGTATTTGGAATCTCCTGGGGCTACGTGGAAAGAGAGTGAATTGCATACAGCGCACAACGCGAATGACACTAGAGACTACAGTAGTCCAGTGATGTTAGGGTTTTAAATACAACTTCAATAATTTTTTTTTCTCGTAAACTATAAGGAGTTTTCAAACATTTTTTTTACGATATTGACTTCATCTTTCATGAAGCGTCTATTCTTAAATTTTTTTGGATAAGTTGTGAATCATCCTGTATAATCTGAAGTAAATCTATATAGATCTGAAAAATTGATGAATATCCTATGTGTCTGTGCCTGCATTTGATTAGTTGCATTTATAGCAAACATTGTTTGGTGAATATAAAAACGTAACCTACGACTAGAAAATCGAAAAACTAGATGGTGAAATAAATATTTATGTTATTTCTACTAATTTCATGTGTTTAGTAATCTAATAAACTAAGTACCTATTCACTAATGCAGACAAATCTTCTTATTTGGACATCCTTTTACCCAGTTTGTCTGGATTAC